GACTTATGAGTCACTGAAGAAATCAAAGCCATTGAGTGTGACTTCCCTTAACTACTCCCTTCCTCTCACCAAAAAATTAGTCTACAGTATCATCAATTCTTACCTCCCTTTCTCTTGCCTCAGAGGAAGAAATATCCCTATTCCCCTCCTTTTAAAATGTTATTATATTTCAAACATACCAGAAAGCACAGAAAACTGAATAATTGAATACTATCTACCAGATTTAATGGATATTAAGATTTTTCCATATTTGCTTCAAATAATTTTCTTTATTTTGAAGAAATGAAAATGTAACACATATAGTAGAAGCTCTCTCTTAATCCTGTTTCTCTCCCTTTTCAGAGATAATCTCTACCCTGAAGTTCACATGTGTTCTTACCCATATTTTATACTTTTCCAACATAGAAATGTCTTTATAAACAATATACAGAATTATTTCATTATGTTTTAAACTTGACATATACAGAATCATACTCTTCATATAATTCTATAACTTTTTCACTCAACTTTGTATATTCGAGATTTATCTATAGGTTATCATTGGCTTTCAACTTTGGCTATACATTAGATTCTCCTGGAGAACTTTAAACATATGTACACACACACACACACACCTGAGCTTTACTCCCAGAGATTATCATTCATTGTTCTAGAATAGAATCCAGGTTTTTTTGTTTGTTTTTTTGTTTTGTTTTTTGTTGTTGTTTGTTTTTTATTAATAGACTATTTCTTAGAGCAGTTTTAGGTTTAAAGAAAATACAGAGAATTTCCATATAACTCACTCTCCCACCACAGTTTGCCCTAGTATTATCTTCTTACATTGGTGTAATGTATTGCTATAATTGATGAACCTATATTGACGCATCATTATTAACTGAAGTCCATAGTTTATGTTAGGGTTTAAATGGGTTGTATCCTTCTGTCGATTTTGCCAAATGGCTAATATGTATCGACCATTACAGTATCATATAGAAGTGTTTCACTGCCCTAAAAATCCCAAAGCTATCAAAAATACTCCTTGCTAACTCTGCAGAAATGGCAAACACATCAACAAGAAAAATAGCTCTAAACTGCTCTCCTGGGCTCCATCCTATCCTTCCTTGGTCTAGTAATTCTTCCACTTATTATTCCTCCCATGTCATTAATGAAGATAATTTTTAAATTTTGTACAGTTCTTTTCTAGTTGTCCTTAGCAGGATCAAGTTTAGATCCACCATGACCAGAATTAGACATACACCCAAGTCTCCTTAAGCAGAAATTATGACTTGGTATTCTGAGAACATCCAGCTTTTCTCTAAACATCTTAGGGTTTTTCATTTAAAATTCCTTTGGTATCCCTAAATGACCAAACTGTCCTGGGTATCACACAGAAAAAAGAAACAATTTACATTCAAGAAAATTAAGCCCAAACTTACAGGCCCTGAGCAGAGGAGTGAGTTGCTCTATCTTCCCAAGAAGCTACATACAGCATTTTCTGAACTCCCTGTGTTGCCAGAGATCTTGAACAAAAATAGAATTGCCATGTAACTTTAATAAACACTGGTCCAGCGTTATTCTTCTGTAGGATAATCTTCATAATATTCTATGGATTAAGTGAACATATCTAAGGAATTTCACATAAGTCAGTGTTAAAGAGAAAGTTGACCATTACAGGTCATAGTCATAGTTTTGCTTTAAATATCATAGTTAGAAAAGAAAGAATTCTTAGTTGAAATCATAAGAGTTGGATCCCTGGGTGACTCAGCAGTTTAGCGCCACCTTCGGCCCAAGGCATGATCCTGGAATCCTGGGATGGAGTCCCGCATCAGGCTCCATTCATGGAGCCTGCTTCTCCCTCTACCTGTGTCTCTGCCTCTCTCTCTCTGTGTCTCTCATGAATAAATACATAAAATCTTGAAAGAAAAGAAAAAAAAGAAAAGAAAAGAGATGGGATCCCTGGGTGGCTCAGTGGTTTAGCACCTGCCTTTGGCCCAGGGCATGATCCTGGAGTCCCGGGACCGAGTCCCACATCAGGCTCCCAGCATGGAGCCTGCTTCTCCCTCTGCCTGTGTCTCTGCCTCTCTCTCTCTCTCTCTCTCATAAATAAATAAATAAATAAATAAATAAATAAATAAATAAATAAATCTTTAAAAAGAAAAGAAAGAGAAAGAAGGGAGGGAGGGAGGGAGGGAGGAAGGAAGGAAGGAAGGAAGGAAGGAAGGAAGGAAGGAAGGAAGGAAGGAAATCGTAAGAGTAAAGGTCACAGCCAAGAGTAAAGCCTATAGGATAAAAAAAGGACAGTTTTGGAAAAGACACTCAGAGGTGGAGAATGGTTAAGAATTAAAGGTAAAGGGAGAAGCCAACAATCAGCTGCTTCATTTATTTTAGTTGCTACTTTCCAGCTAAGAATTCAGAATTGAAGTCCTTACTCAGGTTTAACTTGGTCTAATGGAAGGAGCATGAACTAAAGGTCGTGTTAAAAGAACTTGGCTTCAAAAAGAAAAAAAAAAAAAAGAACTTGGCTTCAAATTCCAGCTCTACATTTCAATGGTTCTATGACTTTGGACAAATTACTTAGCCCTCTCTGCATTGTTTCCTCCTATATAAAAATAGTAATAAATTCAACTTCATAGGCTGTCATGGAGATTAGATTAAAGGAGCTAATGTATCAGAGGCCCTAGTACAAAACCTGATACTTGGTAGATACTGAATAAATGCTGAATTCCCTTCCTTTTTTTTTTCCTTCAACCATAATATATAGAGCTTGTCTTCTATTACTAAAAGCTTCCTCTATTGGACTATAAATATTTATTTCTAATGACTTTTCTGTATAATTGGTTAATATAGTTTACTTTTCTCTCAGAAGATCTGATGAGGCTCACATATAGTCTAGATTAGGAGACTGAGGCCCAAAGAGGGAGTCAGAGCTAAGTTCCTGGTTTTCCAGGATCTACAGTGGAGGTAAGCTCTAGAACCTAACTCATCTATAAGTAAATGTTGATTATGATATATCCATATAACGGACTACTATGTCTCTCTTGAAATAAAATGAGGCAAAACCATGTGTACATGTGTGAAATATGTGCACAGTATTTTATTTAAGAAATTAATAGAAGAATATCTCATTTTTCTTTACATTTTTATTTTTTTTAAAGATTTTATTTATTATTTATTCATGATAGACAGAGAGAGAGGCAGAGACACAGGCAGAGGGAGAAGCAGGCTCCATGCACTGGGAGCCCGACGTGGGATTCGATCCCGGGTCTCCAGGATTGCGCCCTGGGCCAAAGGCAGGCGCCAAACCGCTGAGCCACCCAGGGATCCCTTTCTTTACATTTTTAAAGTTTTAAAACCAGTTACAGTATGTGGACCTTCTATGGATCACAACTTAGAAAAAAAAAGTTTCTCTTTTTGATACAGTCAAGGAAATTTGAACACTAGATATTTCATATTATAGAATCCTTGTTAATTTTAGGTATGATAATGATGTTGGGCTTTGCTTTAAAAAGACCCCTTATTTTTTTAGAGGCATTTACTGAAATAGCTTCAAAATAATTCAGTTATGGGAAAAGGGGAGAATAGAGTTAGGAGTATAAATAAAACAATGTTGGCCATGAATTGCTATTTTGGACATAAGTAGGTATTCTAGGTAAGAACAACCTGCATTTCAAGGAACAAAGCAGGCAGAAGTAGCTTAAGTTTTTTAAGAGAATACCTCCCCAGAGCCACTTTATTAGGTACCATTCATTGTTAGTACCTTCCTTCCCTTGGGATTTCCTGCTTTACTCACTTTATCAGATATAGACAGAATAGTAAAATGATAGAATATCTGACTATCCAGAAATTTTTTAAAAATTTTCTGACCTTTGCAATTGGAGAAGGACGAACATTATATGGTTACATTCATATGGGGAATATAAAAAAAACGGTGAAAGGGATTATAAGGGAGAGGAGAGAAAATGAGTGGGAAATATCAGAGAGGGTGACAGAACATGAGAGACTCCAAAGTCTGGGAAACAAATGGATTAGTGGAGGGGGAGGTGGGCGGGGAGATGGGGTGACTGGGTGACAGGCACTGAGGGGGGCACTTGATGGGAAGAGCACTGGGTGTTAGGCTGTATGTTGACAAATCGAAATCCAATTAAAAAAAATACAAAAAAAAATTCTGACCTTGGAAGAAGCCGCAATGAAAGGAGCAAACATTAGTACATGCAATGGAACCTATGCCAGTCATACTAAAGAAAATTTATTGCTGATGGTGATCAAACCTATGTTGTTGTTTTCCTAACATAAACAGATGTGATCACTTTAGAGTGTATTAGGCAGGGTGAGGAGTGCTAGCTTCTGTAACAAACCTGTAAGATCTCAGTGGCTTTGTTCATTTCTCTTTCATATTGCAGTCCAGGGCAGATCATTAGGCAGGCTTCCTCCTTGCAGTGATTCTGAAATAGTCTAGAACCTCCAAATCCTCCACTGGATCCTTCATCCTTCAGTCAAGAGGAGCAATAGAAAATGTGGGGCTTTAGGGCCATCCCTGGACACAACATACTATTTCTGCCCATACTTCACTAGCCAGAAGTCAGACACATGGCCCACTCCACTAACTGTAGAGACTGGGAAACATCATTTTCCCAAATGCCAAGGAATAAAATGAGATGGAGATCAGTGACCACATTGCATTATCTTTGTCATGGTGTGTACTTTAGTAACTTGAATTTAAGAGAGTGATTCAAGAAGGCTAATAGAAAAGGTATGGGGAAAGAATTACATCCAGACACAACAGAAAAAGAAGGGTATTAAGTAGATTTGTTGCCAGAGACTACTAAGGTAGGGACAGTTTAAATCAGCCTGTTCCTACAGGACTGTTCTTTGTCCCCATAGGTGGATTGGTTTTGCTGGACATGGACGTAGTTAGGGCAAGACTTTACTCTCATTTCTTAGTACCACAAACCTAGAAGCCACTAACTACTCATGGTACTCTTCAGCTGGGCTAATAATTTAATTGTCTGTTTCTTTTTCAGGGTTTGAGTAAAAAAGTTGGTGTGTCATCTTCCATCCTCCAAGGTCTCTGGATCTCTTATAGCACAGAAGGTCTTTCCATGGCATTGGCATCTTTACGGAATCTCTACACTCCAAATATAAAGGTAAATGCTTGTAAATTATAGACAAATTAAAGAATTAGCTGCGCAAAAATAAAATTAGGACATTTAAGTAGCTTTTTTTTTAAGATTTTATTTATTTATTAGACAGAGAGGCAGAGACACAGGCAGAGGGAGAAGCAGGCTCTGTGTGGGGAGCCCAATATGGGACTGGATCCCGGGTAGCCAGGATCATGCCCTGGATTGAAGGCAGCGCTAAACCACTAAGCCACCGGGGCTGCCCTTAAGTAGCTATTTAACTGATCTTTGACTTAACCTTAGACTCTTTACTGTCAATCAACATTTTATTGATAATCTAATATATTTTAATTGTATTTTATTCTGTGAATTGAAGACCACACCTGTTGAGCTACTGCCTTATATGAACTAACTCTGATTTATAGGATTAGGTCCTCCTGCTTCTAGGCAGTAAATCGATCTTAGGTAGGCTTTGTTTTGGTAGGAGCTTTTCTGACCAGCAGTTCACTTAGTAGAGACTGTGTTCATTCAGCACTATAGTGTGGTGGCATTTGCTCTTATGACTGAGCAGTTCGTGTAAAGGAGACCTTTTACATCCCTTTCTGAAGGCAAGGTATCAAAAAAGGTATAAAATAAAGCAGTTACTGAATGCTACTAGGTGCTGTTGTATGGGGTCCCGGGTGACTTCATTAAAGGACTGAAAGGATGCAACTGATACTTGCCTGAGTGTAATTTCTGTTTACTTATTTCTAGGTCAGCCGGCTGCTGATTTTGGGAGGTGCCAACATTAATTACCGGACAGAGGTTTTAAATAATGCTCCAATTCTGTGTGTCCAGTCTCATCTTGGCTACACAGAAATGGTGGCCCTGCTGTTGGAGTTTGGGGCCAACGTGGATGCCTCTTCTGAAAGTGGCCTGACTCCCTTGGGCTACGCAGCAGCAGCGGGCTACCTGAGCATCGTTGTGCTGCTATGCAAGAAACGTGCCAAGGTAATGTTTCCCTACCCGGCTACTTGTCCTGCCCCCACTTTTTCTCCCTGCCATAGAGTCTTCCTTTTCCCCTGTGTTACCTCGAGTCTGGGCTGAGCACATCAGACCCAGCGGGATCAGGCCGTGGGGAGTACTGCTTCTGCAGACATCTCAGTGTTTGCCCACTTGCCACTGCCCATTCCATACCGCCTCTGGTAAAACCCTTGGGAAGCATTTAGGAAACTGCACTTTAGCAGCAGCCACAGAAAGTCCCCACTAAAAACCAAGGAATTCTCTGCTGAGCACAGAGCGAGGAAGAAGTGAAGATGCAAAGAGGCTGTGGGAAGTCTGAACTGAACCGTGCCCATAGGCGCTAAGCCTTTCATGTGTAGAGAAGAGAAGTTAGCCGTGGAGGTAAGAACATAGGCCAGACTCCCTCACCTTAGCCTTGAAGACCCACATCGCAGAGGTATGAAGAGAACATGATTCCCTGTTTATATTCAGACCAGCCAGGGGCACTCAGTGTTTCTGCTACTATACTTTAATTCTCTGAAGACCATTCTGGGAAAGTGTTTGCTTTATAGTATCTCAAGAGCTGCTGATATAAAAGAACTCAATTTCAAAATTTCGGTGAAGAGAAAAATACTGGTCTCAAAATTGTAAGCCTCTGGGGAAAATTGTAGCCTTGTGGCATTTTGTTTCAGTCTTGAAAACAGAGGATTTTGGTGGTTTTGCAGTGAAATATAAGTAATATGTGCAACCTCGTGCTGAGGTGTCGTCCATTGTTCCTACCAGAGAAGAATGGGGGACTGCTGAGACCTTTGGAAAGTGGGACATGAGACTCTCAGTGAGATCCTAGAGCCTTGGGTGTCCACCGTGACACGGACCTATAACGTCCTATTCATTTGAATGAACATCTGTAAAACCAGAACAACTGGGCCTTATTACTGCTGTCAGTTCATATTCCAGCTGCAGTTGGGTCTTTCCTCCTGCCCAGTTATCATTCTAGCCATCTCCCGTTTCCCCCAGAGCAGATAGGGAAATCATTTGCAGTCTTCTCAAGACCCTGTCACACCTCGTGCCCTCCTGGGTTACAAAGATTGAGGTCATCTCCATGTGCCTCTGTCTCAAAACTCTTAATCCTACCGACACTCACTTCACTTCTACCTCAGAGAAGGAAATGTTTTACCCTTCTTTCCGAAGGCCTTGCCTCCATGTATATCTTTTTATCTCTGTATGTTGCCCTTTTCTTACAATTTGTTTCACTCTTTTTCTAATTTCTCAACAAACCTATGAATGTCTCCTGTAACCCAAAAAGGCAACTTCCCTGTCTCCTGCTAACCAGAAGCTACCATCCCATCCCTTCCCTTCCATGTCCACCCATCCTGCCCTAAGAGTCATCTCTACTTGCCACTTCTGCTTCCTTGCTATCCCTTAGCCACTTTTAGTCCTGCTTCCATGAGAGAAAGAAGAGTACAATCATTAAAATGATAAACTTTGGGATCAGACACAACTTGATCAAAACCTCCATTTACACTTCCTTTCTCTGAGGCTTGGACAAGTCATTTAACCTCTCAGTCTCACTGTTTTCATCCATAAAAGGGATTAATGGGGTCACCATGAGAATTAAAAGTGAGGAAACCTTTTTAAAAAGAGGTAAAGTCTTGGGACACCTGGGTGGCTCAGTCATTTAAGCTCCGACTCTTGATTTTGGCTCAGGTTGTGATCTCAGGGTCATGAGATTGAGCCCTGTGTTGTGCTCAGTCTGCTTCCTTCTCCCTCTCCCTTTGCTCCTCCCCCTGCTCACACATGCGAACATGCATGCACATATGTGCTCTCTCTCAAATAAATAAACTTTTTAAAAAGAGAGATAAAGTCTCTTTTCATCTCTTGCAGAGCCTAATAAATAGTATTCTTTAAGAAAAATAAGGGCAGGGGGCACCTCGCTGGCTTAGTTGGTAGAGCATGTGACTCTTGATCTTAGGGTGATAAGTTCAAGCCCCATGCTCAGTGTAGAGATTACTTAAAAATAAAATCTTTTTTAAAAAAAGAAAGAAAACACCTAGCCTCTTGGCATTTAACTGATACTCTGATCTCAAAAGTCACAAACAACTGATCACCAAATAAAGTAACTTTTTCTCATTTCTCACCCCTCTAATAATCTTGGCGGTACTGACACACTTCCCAGAATTCTTTTCCTGCCTGTCTGGTTGCTCTTCTCTTTTCCTTCTTCTAATGTCACTGTTCACTGAGATTTTGTCCTCTGGCCTTCTCCATCCTCAGACTCTCTCCCATGGTGTCAGCACCAAAATACTGAAGAATACTAGCCAGTTAGGTGTAGAATGTTCTTCAGTTTTAGTTTGATATTTTCTCATTGTTAGGTTGAATTTATATCTTTTCAGCAAGAATATCATAGAAGTGTTGCTGTGCCCTTACAATTGCAGCACTTAGGAAGGTATGTAATGTTGCTGTGGCTAACGGGGTGCTAACCTCTATTGCTTGGGTAAGATTGTGTCCTCTAGGTTTCTCAGACCTGAAGTTCCTCTTTTTCCCTTTGTAACTAAGAAGTATCTTTGAGGGAGATGCTTTGAGACTGGACAAAAATCTTGTCTCTCATGCTTTTGTCCACTGATTTTAGTATCCATCAGAGATTCTTTCGGCAATGATTGCTGTGGTGTTTTTGCGATTTTCTATTTCCCTCAGTCCTTCAACATTTATTAGTCAGAATTTTAATGCAGGGATGAGCTATCCCTTCTCCCCAATAGATGTATTTGTTTAATTATTTGTTTATAGCACTATGGATCTCTATATTTATTTTATACTATGACCTGTAACTCTTGCCATTATTATTTATTTTGTTGCTCAAATTGCCTAAGATTTGGCCTTTGGGAGCTCCTTCAAGTTGGCTCTTGTGTCCTTTCAACTTCCACTAAATTATTTTATCAGCATTTCTGTACTTTCTGGCACCACAAGATGTTCCACATTCATCGTTTACTATTAATGCCTCAGCCCAGGAATTAATCATTTCTCTAAGGAGCCAAAGCACCTTTTTATTTATCCCCTTAGTTTTTGAAAATTTAGTATGAGCATGAAAATTCTGAATGACTCTCCATTACCTCTGACTAAAATTCAGACCATTTAGCCTAGCATTCAGAAATATCCATGCTCTGGTCCCAAAAGACCCTCTCAACTTTGTAGTTTAAGCTCCCCCTCCATGTACCTCACCCTTTCAAAAACTAGAGTTAATAATTTCCTATCTCAGCCAGTTGAGTTGGGCCTTTTCTTAGTCTGTTTGGGCTGCTGTAACAAAGTACCATAGATTGAATAAATAATCGGCAGCATTTATATCTCACAGTTCTGAGACTAAGTCTCAAGATCACGGTGCCAGATGGAGCATCTGTTGAGAGCTTCCTGGCTTATAGACCATACCTTCTTGTTATGTCCTCCCATGGTGGAAGAGAGAAAGCAAGCTCTCCGGGGCCTCTCTAGTAGGATACTTATCACTTCCTCAAAGGTCCCCTTTCCATTTAATATCATTACATTAGGAGTGGAAATTCCAACATATGATTTCAAGGGGACAAAAATGTTTAGACTACAGCACCTTTCCTTCAGAATCGGTTACTGATTCCAGGTAGGAATAATCTCCAGTTTTATTGCACCTGTACTTTCCTTACATCATTTGTTATCCTTTGTTGGACAGGTTTTTGTCCTGTTGGTCGCATCTCCCCTACCTTGTTTGAAAGTTCTTGAGTACAGAATGATCTATGTTTTACTGCCTTACTCGCTTTTCATCCTATGTGGTACCTTGCACAAAGTAGGCATTCAGTAAACATTTGTTAAGTAGATTGCTGGGTGGAACTAAAGCTGAGGAGAATCAGATGCAGAACTTAGGTGTCAAGTGTTCAGCCCACCTGCCAGAAAAAGCTACTCTTCTGTTGAAGCTTTTGGCTGCCTTCTGGTAGATCAATCTTAACCAGGCTCCTTTCAACCTAAACTTGCAACCAGCACTGCAACCATAAAAGCTGCTGTTGGAACATAGTCCAGCATTAAGCTCCAAGTACCTCTAGCCATTTTGACCAGAACTTGGAGATTCTGCTCTCCCATTGGAAGAAAAAAGCAGCCTCTACCAAAGTTTGGTGGTCAAAAGTATGATTCATGATATGAAGTATTTTGCTTCTTTGGAGACCAAAAAATTTGAGCTTCAAAATGTTTTTCTTTCCTTTTATGATTTCAAAGACAGTTTTTTGTGCCAGCAGAGCTACAAGTCTTTGAAAGCTTGGTCTGAAAAGAACTATTTGAGGACAAAAGAGAATGTACCTCAGGAAAACAAAGCTGGAGCCGGGAATTTTGTTTTTTTAGTTCCTTTTTCTATGGAAACAAAGGCTGACCTTATGAAAAGAGGTTCTCCCCTGAGGGACATCTGCCAGAGTTCTAGCTCAGCAATGATCTAGCCTGAGTAGGAGAGAACTTTCTAGATTTGCCCAGATATTGGTTCACGGTATGGGAAGGGATGACTCTTAGTAGTCTAGTCATGTGCAGTGGACCAATGTGACTGGATTAGGAGTGTGGCTACAAATCTTTGTTCACATACATTTCTCTGTCCTTCCCCTTAGGTGGATCATTTGGACAAGAATGGTCAGTGTGCTTTGGTCCATGCTGCTCTCCGAGGTCATCTGGAGGTTGTCAAATTTTTGATTCAGTGTGACTGGACAATGGCTGGCCAGCAGCAAGGAGTATTTAAGAAGAGCCATGCCATCCAGCAAGCCCTCATTGCTGCAGCCAGCATGGGTTACACGGAGGTAAGAAAGCAGGTGATAAGGTTTAGGGTTTTTAGGTTTTTTTCAGGCTATGTATTGAAAGACCTAGGAAACAGGAGGAAAATGGTTGCGTTATTATAAAATTATCTTACTAATTAATGTGAATTAGCTTTTTGGTCACTGTTTTGGGGAATAGGAGACTGAACTCCATGAAGCACTTGAATTCTCAAATACCAGCATATCTAGAATTATGAACATAGCATGTCAGAGTGGGAAAGAAGTTTGGAAATCATCTAATCCAATTCCTCCCCATCTTGCCACCCTTATTTAACAGACAGTGACACTGGACTCCTAGGGATTATTTATTGACCTGTACTCATATGGGTAGGCAGTGTAGAATGGGAAGAACACAACATTTGAAATTTCAGAAGGACCAGGTTTGAGTCCCAGTTTGCTACATCATTTGCTGTGGACCTTGGACAGTTTACCTAATCTCTTAGAATCTTCATTTCCCATTAGTAAAATGACTCTAATAAATTCTTTTTTTACGAGCTGGTGTGAAAGGGTCTTAGTGAACTGTTAAACACTATACAAATGATATTTTTACTAATGATAGTAATAATATAGTGGCAAATGTATGGAATTAATAAATGCTAAGAAATATTGAACATCCAGTTCCAAGACGATTGTGTAATAGAGCAGAAGTGTGTGTGTGTGTGTGTGTGTGTGTGCATTCATACTTAAAATTAGTACAAATTTTAATGATACGAAGAACATGTAGCACACAGTTTATAAATGATGAAATATGCAGTACTCTTAATGGAATGCTTGATTTTTGTGACATTTATATTGGCAGCCAACCTATGGTTGCAACTCATAGATTATTTATAGATGATCTTTTTTGCTGTTTTCACAATAACTTTATTGTCATTATATTTGATATGTGATCTGTGTTAAACTACTTCTCACCCTCCTACAAATCATACTCATTAAACTGGAACCTCTTTGAGACTTTAGCACTAAATCAAATCTTGATTTGTAATGTTTGCCAATTTCCAAGCTACCCCCAGAACTGATATAGAGCTGCCATTGTGGCATTGCTAAACACAGAGTTGAGAAGAGACGCATAGTAGCACACACCATGATGTGATATTTCCACCATACAGACACAATACATTTAAATAACCTCAAGGGCATGGACAATGTAAAGAGTAGTTAAATAATTAAGAAATCACAAGAGTTTATATTTTTTAACCTTTTTTAAAATATAATTTATTTGTTATTTAATTTTTAATAAACAGCTTCGTTTTATAACCGACTTACAAAATTCCTGAAAACGTAGTGCTCAACTTTCATGGGTCAGTACACGTTGGCTCACCACTACATGGGATACTTCCATGACACAGCTACCCTGCCAACTGACCTGATATGTCACCGAGGGAATATTAAGTAAAACTGGGATTTCTGGGATCCCTGGGTGGCGCAGTGGTTTGGCGCCTGCCTTTGGTCCAGGGCACGATCCTGGAGACCCAGGATCGAATCCCACATCGGGCTCCCGGTGAATGGAGCCTGCTTCTCCCTCTGCCTATGTCTCTGCCTCTCTCTCTCTCTCTATCATAAATAAATAAAAATTAAAAAAATAAAAATAAAATTAAAAAAAAACTGGGATTTCTAATATCTCTAGGTTTTAAATTCTCTCTACAGGCACTTTAATGCTAGTAGTCGTTCTGCCTTTTTTTTTTTTTTAATTTATTCGTGGGAGACACACAGAGAGGCAGAGACACAGGCAGAGGGAGAAGCAGGTTCCCCACAGGGAACCTAATGCAGGACTCGATCCCAGAACCCTGGGATGATGCCCTGAGCCAAAGGCAGACGCTCAACCACTGAATCACCCAGGTGCCCCTCGTTCTGCCTTTATTATCCCCAGAGCAGTCCTTGTACTTGCAAGCAGAAAAAAGATCATTGCCTGACTCTGATGAAATACAGGCCCTCTGTTTTCCCCATATTTGTTTTCTGGTTTTTATTTATTGATTGGGTTTTTGCCTCTTTATTTATTGGTATTCTTTTTGGGAGAATGAGAGGTTGCTTCTTTAACTTAAATGTGAGGAATAAATAATTTTTTAAAAATAACATGCTATATAAGTGAGTCATGTTCAAGAGAAACGTATAAACTGTAGCTAATAAAACAAATGCTCATCATGGCAGCTTTCATTTCTTTGTCGGGATAGTTCTGGTTTCTGTGCAAGAGTTTTCATCATACTTGGGTCATCCAGGTATCTTTCAAACTTCACAGGCTAGAGTTGGTAGCATAGTTTTCCACCTGAAGTTTGAACTGACACAATTTCTTGTTTCAGATTGTCTCCTACCTACTTGATCTTCCAGAAAAAGATGAAGAAGAAGTAGAGCGAGCACAGATCAACAGTTTTGACAGTCTCTGGGGAGAGACAGGTACTTCTGTAAACATTACTCTCTTTTCTCATTAATGTTGTGTGTTCATATGGAGATACTTTGCATCACACACCCTGATTTTTCCTCTGACATACCTTTAGCAGTCTCCATCTAATGGCTTTTTACTGGAGATTGATTCAGCCAAAGTAAAAAGTCAAGCGCTATCCTTCTTCCAATCCTCTCTCCCTTTGGATTCTCCACATCGTTAGCACCAGAGTCTTCTTTCAACCAAAATCTTACCCTGCTCTTGTTTCCAAATATTTTTAAAAGACTGAAAGTTTCCTTACAGCGTGCCAAACCAGAGCAAAAAATGGTTGTGGCCTCTCTCTTCTTTTATATGATCCTTGTAGCAGTTAAGTATAAATATTTCTCCCATCAAAATAACTCCACCTGCATTGTAAACCAGGAGGTTAAGTTTTTATCCACACCTCTGACTTAACCAAGTAGGTTATCATGGCAGAGTGGTATCTGACGTGGTTAAACTGATATGTTATAAGTAAAGTTACTATCTGGATGCAAAATGAAGGTACCACCCTATAAGGCACAGCCCCATGCATCCATTTTCATCTGTAGCCAAGAGATTTCTATATTGCTTGGTACTTACTACAGAAACAGAAGCTTCTTGCTTTGTGGCCTTTGCAGGAAATGATTGCTGTCTTTCCTCCAAGTCTAAACTAGAACATCTGGAGAAACATTAGTAACCTTTTCTATGTTTTTATGAAATCAGGGCAATGAAAGCTTTAGAGTCACCACAGATATGTGTCATATTAGCCAGGAAAAGTAGACCAATATTGAGATGGCCAAGTTAGGGGGAATATTTTATTAAACAAGGAGGGTATGTGTTTTGGTTAGTCAAAGTGTTATTAAAAATAAAGGAGGCACTTGAATTCATTTAAAATTTATAATGATCTATCAAATTTGATGTTTCCATTCATGGCAAATGTCATAGGTAGGTTTCATGGCTTCTTTAACATCATGTAGAATGGTCCAAAGCTCAGGAATTTACTTCTCAAACAATCCCTCCCTCTGTAAAACTAAAGGGAACAGATGCCAGGCAGCTGCAGCTTACGAGCCCAAGACAGATTAAAGGAAAATGTGCAGCTGGAAACAGCTGCCGTCTCTGGGACTCTACCCTGTGGGAAGCCAGAGGACAGACTGAGGGGAAGGAACTGACCAGGATGCCGGCAGCTCTGGAGTCCATGTCTTCTGAATAAGAACTGTGGGAGGGACATGTTGCTTTACTGCTCCCATCAGCACAGCCTGTCCCAGCACACTATTGCTGGGCCATGCACATGGAACCCAGGAGTATGAAAAGCACTATGGCCTGATGAGGACAATGTAGAGGAATTATAAGGCTAGCAATCATAGTGATGAATATCATACACATTCTAGTACTGTACTTAAAAGAATTTCTTAAAAACATTTAAGAAGGGAGTGACCTAAATGGAAGACTTATTTTTATTGATATGAATTTCTTATCAGAATAAAATTTTATGGGGGCACCTGGGTGGCTTAGTCGGTTAGGCATCTGACTCTTGATTTTGGCTCAGGTCATGATCTCAGGGTTGTGAGATCAAGCCCTGTGTTAGGCTCTGCACTGTGTGTGGAGCCTACTTGGGATTCTCTCTCTCCCTCTCTTCTTATACCTCTCTCTCTCTTTCCCTCCCACCCTCCCTCTAAAAAAAAGAATAAAACTGTGGCCTCGGGACTTTTTAAATATCTCACTTTCACATGCGCAATGAAGTTTGTTACATTAATTTATATAAATATGTACCATATCTTAAGATTGTAAAAAAAAATCAGAGCTTCATGTCAGTTGGCTTGTAATCAGAATTGTGTTTAACTTGATATTTATATGAAATAATTACAGCATTATAAACATAAAATGCTATTTGAATAGCGCTAGAATGAAATGCGTCTGTAATACAGTTTATAGATCTATAAACAGTTATTTGGCTTCGGGAAAATTTCTAGGAAATAATGTCTGTGCTATGTAAGAATGTCCCTAAACCTCCCTACTAATATAGAACAGACTATGAGTTGCTTTTCTATCTATAATGATGGATTTACTAAATATACATGTTCCTTTCTACCTTATAGCACATATGATTTAAAATGTATAATAACCCATTGAATTGTGATGTTTTCTCCAATGGTAGAATCTTACACATGTCCCCCTTATTAGAGAATGAAGGTGTGTGACCTCTAGCCATTGGTTGGGTCTTATACCTACAGCCCTGGTCTAAACAACAAAATCCAATGGTTGTGATGTCCCCAACAATCTGTATAATTTACTGTATCAAATCTAAAACACCATTAACTATAGGAAACTATATAGCCATTATTTTTTATGTGCCACTACAAAAAAAGAAAGCCTCGGCCTATTAAACTGACACAGTTCTTTATTATCACAGCAATCACAAGATGCATCCCAGTTTTAGAGATGTTAAAATGTGAAGGGAAAAAAGTACATCTTAGAATCAATGAAATTTATCTTAGCATATAGTGAAATAATAATTGAGTTTTTACAGAGCAGATTTTCTAAAAGCAGGTCACTAGAATATACTGGTTGCCTTTGTCCTTCTTTTTCAGCCTCTTTATCCTTCCTGATAGCATCTGCCTACATCCAGCCTCCACCATCTGGCTTGCCCCCTCCCATCCCACAGGGTTTTTACAGACTTCTCATGGAACAGTACAGAAGAAAAACAATTAAGGTGATAAGATTGTTCACCATGCCCTCTTTCTCTTGTCTAACAAGCTTAAACCAGGACCAGCATTAAAAGCTTCTAGCAACTCTAGAGGGCCTGAACCATCCTATGACCCAAAAGAAGCAAGAGTTCACAAAATAAACAAGATACCCATAACTCATGCCCTTATCATTTTTTGCCTACGTTATTGCAACTGCCTCCTCGCTGATCTTGTCACCCTTTCATGATTCATCTCCCTTGTGACTTCCACCAGAGTGAACTTAGTGAGCCACAATCTGTTGGTATCACTTTCCTGCTTCCACCCTTTAATGACCTGTATCATTAATGAAGTTATTTAGTATAATCTAAGAAGACCAGTTGTGATCTCTAGGCCTCTCTTTTGCCCCGCTTCTCTAGTAACTCCAGTAACAACAAACATACTGTCTCCCACCTCAGTGCCTTGTAAGTGTTCTCCCTGTGCCCGGCCTGCCTACCCTTGTCCTTGCATGCCTTTGAGACTTCTGTTTCTCTTTTAGTATCTAGCTCAGATGAACATCTCTTTCTGAAGACCTTCTCAGACGCTTCTTCCTATTATCTCCATCCCACTTATACACTGGATAGTAATGTATTTTTTATTTGTCTATCATCCTGACTCAACCTTGTGTTCCTTGAGAGCAGAGACAGTGTCTGATAAATAGTTCAATAAATGTTTAGTTAGTGTTTTGGATAGCAATGATCAGTTTATGTCTCCCCAACCACCTCTCTCTCATTGGTCTTGCATGACCTAGTCTGTGCTATACTCTTTCACAATTGAAAATAGATATACACAAGAACCACTAGCTTTGCCGCATTCTGTTGAGTGTTACCATCTCATCCAAGCAGACTGGCTGTTTCCCCATCTCTGAGCTGCATCCTGTCTGCCTATTCAGACTCCTTAGATGTTCCTTCCACTTTGAAGAAGGACCATTTATGTCAGATAATCTCATCAGCTGCTGACAAGCTAGGGAACAAATTCTGTAACTGGTCTCTTAGGAAGAGATTTGGCTCCAAACTGCTGTGTTTGCTCTAAGAATCAGTTTGTTGCTTTATGGAACGGACTTTACCTTAATCTTCTTTCTTTTAAAAAGTTGTAACAGTTTTTGATAAGACTTACATAAAATCCAGCCAAAGCAGTTTTTTGCTCTTGGATTTTGAAAAGTACAGATCCCATTTTATGTAGTTGTGTTGTTCTGAGATGAAATTGGCCAGCTGTTTTAATGACCATGTCCAGCCATCAGCTGGAGATTCCTACCAAATTACATCATAACCTAAGCAACAAAAATGATACAACAAAGAAAAAAGCCAAATGGAACATTCCCTCTTAGATTAATGTGTTATCCAATGAGCTGAAATGGGCCAGCCAGAGCAGTATAACTCCAGATTAGAGTGAACAATATAAGTTTTAGCTTTCAAGATGGGCACTGGTTGTAAATTTTCAGCAGTGTTGTGTGAACTGGCATCATTGGTGTGAAAGGCTTGATTCTGAAATACTGTTTGTATTTTCTCCAACAAGCTACAAATTCTTTTGTGAAAAGAATGTATTTGCCCTCCCTCCACCATACACAGGGCATTAAAAGGGAGGTTTGCTGCAACCCTGCAACCCTATCACCTCGTAGCTACTTTAAATGGAATCAGAGAGTAAGAGTTAGAATTTTTTCTAATTATTTGTTTTATATGCCAACAATATGATTCTTGTGGTTCCTAATGAGTGTCTACCCCAGTCAAATTCTTTTTTTCCCAGCTTTCCTAGGATCTAATTTACATATAACGTGTAAATGTTAAGGTGTACAACATGATGAGTTCTAACCAATGTCTTAAGCTACTCTCGTGTTCTGACCCAAGAATTAAAGTGGTTTTTTTTCCTAAACTATTAGAAGTATGAAGTTGGCAAAGAGAGAAGATCACTTTGATGTAAGGAACAAGACACAACTTCTTTGTCAACTTAATAATCATACCCATCGATACCTATACTTACTCATTGAAGGCTTGGAAATGACCCTCACCTCAGATAAACCTCTGCCCTCCTGTTAGGAATAGGACAGAAATGCCACTGTTAAGAGCTCCAAAATTGAAAATACACATAAGGCAAGACACATACATCTAGTTTGAGTAAATACATCTTCTAAAACTGTCACATTTTTTTCATAAGCCCTTCTTATCCTTGAGGAAAGAAAAGGTTACTTAAAAGTTTATCTTAGTTGAAATTACAGGTAGTTTGATTTTGCATATGAATTAGTTGTGGATGAATTTGACTAAGCCCAAGGACAAAATGCCACTGGTTGTACTTAAATGAAAAAAATTTTCAAGTGACCATTTGATTTGAATTTCAGTTGCTTTCTTGATTAGATACCAACATTTGCAAACTGAAATATGATCTGCACTTACCAAATACTATCTTTTTCTGATTTGCCATTGGAGTAGGTGGCCATGATCAAGGAAGGACTTGCTGGCTACCACATCAGCTGTCCAAGTCAGCATGGTAAAAAAAGTTCTCTATCCTCTTTTTTTATTTTTTTAAATTTTTAAAAAAGATTTATCTATTTGAGAGAGAGCAAGAGAGGGAGAGAGAGAGAGCACAGAGGTAGAAGGAGAGGCAACTTCCTGCTGAGCCCTACATGGGGCTCCATCCCAGGACCCTGGGATCATGACCTAAGCCAAAGGCAGACACTTAACCAACTGAGCTACCCAGACCCCATCCTCTTTCTTTAAAAGCATTAATTCCTGCTGCCTTGTAACCGTGTTTACCATCCTCCCCACCCTCCTCCACTCTTTAAAACACAGAACCTATGCATTTGAGATGCCACGATCAAATGAAATATATATATTTGTTCAAATATGAACTTAATAGAAAATCTATCTCCAAATCCCTCTTGCTACTATTGAACCAGGCTCAGAGAATGAAATAGGCACTCAGAGAATCTACTCTCTGAGTGGACAATAGCACAAAAAGAATGTTTAAGTTTCTTCCTGCTGTGTCCCTTATAGTCACTATTGCTATTTTTATTATTTGTGACTCCATTATTTTATAATCAGAACCTTTGTCACACCTCATTTCTCATCTTTAAGACTATTAACTTGAACATCTCCGACTTCCATATGAAAGTGGCTACAAATGTACTAGAAACTTCTGTCTCAACTAATGAAGAAAAAAAGAAAACTGGCCCAACTGAGACTGCTATTCTTGACTTTGGTTCTTTAGGTTTAAGGGCCCAGGAGTAGAGGTTGGCCAGAAGTGGTTCCTAGCTAATTTTTAAAATTACTTACTTGGAGCACGTGGGTGTCCCATTCGGTTAAACATAAGCTCAGGTCAGGATCCCAGAGTCCTGGGATGGAACCCCATGTCGGGCTCCCTGCTCAGCGGAGAGCCTGCTTTCTCTCTCTTCCTCTGCAGCTCCTCCTGCTTGTACCCTCTCACTCTCTCTCTCTCTCTCTGCCAAATAAATAAATAAAATAATAATAAAATAAAAAGACCTTACTCTGCAAAGGCCCTTCTCTCTACATTTCACCCATGCATACACACCCATGTGAAGTTTGTTGCTAAGAAGAGGTGCCAAAAAAAGAGGTAAGTCAAAAGAGAAGACAGTCTAGGTAGGAAAAATGAAACCAAGTAAGTTTAATCAAAGGTGATTTTCAATAAATTTATTATCTACAATTGTCTCCATATATTTTAAGCCCATTTAAATGTGGTTCTATTCATGATTTTTCTTTAAAAATTTCATTTGTGACAAAAGTAGCTTATAACCATTGGAGGTAAAGTAGCAGTTCCATTAATCTAACACAGATATACTGCCATGCTCACACAGAGGGCTGGAGAGGGAAAGACCCACCTGTTCTCATTCTGTGTTCTCTGCCCTCAGCACTGACAGCTGCAGCTGGAAGGGGCAAACTGGAGGTATGCCGTCTGCTCTTGGAACAGGGGGCAGCAGTGGCCCAGCCAAACCGCCGTGGGGCAGTGCCCCTGTTCAGCACTGTTCGCCAGGGCCACTGGCAGGTAAGCAGGGTAGCTACTTCCAGTTCTTCGGATAGGGCTGAGTTCTAGGAAGGGACTTCAGAAGCAGAGAGGAAAAAAAAATCACAAAGTTCGGGTTACTCAGCAGTCACCGGGCTTGAGGACTTGGGCCTTTGTTAATAGTACTCTGGTTCATTGAGAATATGTCAGAAACCTAACATTCAAAATCATCATCATTTAAAAAAAGATCATCATCACGATCTATATTGTATAGAAGGACCAGCTACCCTTTTGCCTGTTCATGGAGTGACCTGCTTCTCACATTTCACAGTATCCACATGTTCTCTAAAAGATTCATATCCCAATAGACCCCTGCTAACAGGTGTCTTGCAGGTGTCTCAGACTTGCCAAAAGAAAATGTGGTGTATGTAAATTCTAGCTATGCAGTCTTTCCAGATGTTTGAATTCCAGATAAATTCCACTAATCTATACACTTAGGATGGAAAAGAAAACATATTGGTGATAATCTTTGGAAGTATTTGTGTAGAAGAAAGGCTCCAGAAGCCAAACAGTATAGAAGAGTTACAGAGGCACTTTATTGTATTCACTTCAGTCAAAGGTATTCACAACAGGCAGCCTTGCAACCTCTAGAAGTCAATAAAATGGCACTGGCATAGGTAGTGACTTGTGTTAGAGCTTCCATCATGGGATTGCTTAGTCTACATCTTGGCCTTTTATATCTTAAATTCTTTTTCATTTAGGGGTTGAGTCAAACATTCAGAGTTGAATTCTTATTTTGGCTATCCTTAGGAGAGTCAGAGATCAAATAACATGGTACTAGGACTGTGCAGGAACTAAGGGACTCTTGCAGTAGACACTTACATGTAGAGATGACTCGCCTGTACAGCAGGAGGAAATCCTTCAGTGGAGGGAACAACATGCACGTGGCTACTCAACAGCTCTTCCTGGCTCATTTGTCCCTGTTTCTCTACACTTGCAGATTGTTGATCTTTTACTCACCCATGGAGCTGATGTCAATATGGCAGACAAGCAGGGTCGTACTCCCCTGATGATGGCTGCCTCTGAAGGCCATCTAGGAACTGTGGACTTTCTACTTGCACAAGGTCAGTCCTGGGATGCTGGAGCTGCATGGTCAGTGCCTATAATAACCTAAGGAATTCATGATTTCCAGTGATGGATTCTAAGAGATGTTAATAGATATTATTGGGGCACCTGGGTGGCTCAGACAGTTGAGCATCCAGACTCTTGGTTTTGGCTCAGGGCATGATCTCAGGATCCTAGGATCCAGCCCTGCATCTGGCTCCATACTCACCAAGTTGTCTATGTGAGTCTCCTCCCTCTGCCCTCCACCCTGCTCACGCATGCGCTCACACGTGTTCTCTCTCTCAAAATAAGTAAATCTTTAGAAAAAAGAATATGTATTATTAATCTAGTTGGCTAAAATGTGAAAAGTCCATCTCCTCTCCTCTTATATACAGTGGGACCCTTCACTCTGATACTTTTTGTTTCCTTATGGTTTGAGGGATTTTTGGTATTCTAGTCAAATTAACATCTTCTGAATTTTCTAATTCAAATTTGTAATCTCTAAACTTTGATTTTTAATATATACTCAATAGACATTCATCTTCCAAGGACTATGCTTTTTCTTTATCAATCCTTTTGTAAGCCTGAACAACTAATATTTTTCTTGTATCTAAAGGAGACAGAGGTTAAGACAGTTGCCAACAGTGGGACCCTGTTTGAGAATTCAGAATATTATATTATCTTCTTGTTGTAATAAATTGCTTTTGACTTTAACCAACATTCACATACTCCGGGTGAATGGGAAATGAATTAAAGGAGATTGTGGTCACACCACCTTCAAAAGCATTTCAGGCTCCTTTTGATTGCTCTGACTTCATTCACTGATGCAAAACAGGGGTGAGTGATGGAGGACTTCTAGAGAAGGAAAACTCATGTCACTGATGACTCTGCAGTACCATCTAGTGGACTTTGAGCATTTATAGGAAGCAGGAGATGGTATGATTGTGACCAGCCTAATGACTCCACTCCAACCAACAAACAAATCTGGTTTTATGATATCTATCCTTACTTCTGCCAAGAGGGGGTTGGAGGAGGATAGAGAGTGTACCTTGATTCTCAGGTTAAGATGTGGCAGGAATAAATGTCCCAGAACAACCTAAGTCTACTGGAAAAGGTAGGACCTCTTCAGCTACTGATAACCTTGAGATCACTGCACGGAGTCTGCCACATGCCAGTGGAAGCTTATCAGACACAGATATCAGAAATTTGTTCTCCCTTACCATTGCTTACGATGGGCTTATGTCCTGATAAACCCAAGTTTAAAATATCATAAGTTGAAAATATCTTAAGTTGAAATACATTTAATACACCTAGCCTGGGGATGCCTGGGTGACTCAGTGGTTAAGCTCTACTTTCGGCTCAGGGCGTGATCCTGGGGTCCTGGGATCGAGTCCCACATTGGGCTCCCTGCATGGAGCCTGCTTCTCCATCTGCCTGTGTCTCTGCCTCTCTCTCTCTCTCTCTGTCTCTCATGAATAAATAAATAAAATCTTAAAAAAAATACATCTAGCCTATGGAACGTGGTATTTCCATAGCTTAGCTTTGCTTACCCTAAATGTGTTTAAATGTGTTTACAACACTTACATCAGCTTACAGTTGGACAAAATCATCTAACACAAAGCTTACTCTATACTAGTGTTGAATATCTCAGGTAGTTTATCGAACACTGTACTGAAAGTGAAAAACAGAATGGTTGTACAGCACATAATGGCTTTATCTGTTGTTTACCTTTGTTGTTTTGTGGCTAATGGGGAGCTGTAGCTTGCTATTGCTGGCCAGCATCACGAGAGAGCATCGTACCACACATCACTAGCCTGGGAAAGGGTCCAAACTCAAAATTTGCTGTACATTTTCTACCAAATACCTATCACCTTTGCACCATCATAAAGCTGAAAAATTCTAAGTCAAACCATTAAAGGCAGGGATGTTCAGTATTTCCTTTATTCACACTTAAATCAGAGACTTCCACTAAATCAACAAATTCTGCATTTATTTAGCTTACATTATTTGCAGAACACAATACTAGTGCTATGTCAGTGAGTGATTTCCTTTTAATTAATACACTATAATCCGTGCCCTCTGAGATGCTGTATCTGGCAAGGAAGAGATGAAACAAAGATAAATACCTGAAAAGCAGAGAATCCTAAGTGCTCTGATAAAGGTATTAGAGTTAGGAAAGGACAGACTTTGAAAGGTGAATAGGAAAAAAGTTTCAAAAAGAAAAAATTTCATATTTAGGGAAACGAACATAAATGAAAAGTCAGGGAGGAGAACCAGCACACAACAGGTTTGGGGAAATAAGCAAGTTGTCCGGTAAAGTACATGAGGGCTTTTGGGAAGTAAAACTGGAAATGTAGGTAGGAAGAAAGTGAAGAGGAACAGATTAAATGAGGTTTTGGATTTAATTCTGAAGGCAGTGGGGAGCCTTTCAATATTTTTTAAAAGGGAATAAAAAATGTGCTTTAAAAAAAATCTCTCTGGCAGTAGTGCAAATAGTAGATTTGATGGAGGAATTATAGTGGACCAGGGGATCAATTAGGAAGCATTGTAATAGAATAGATGAGAAGTAATGATGCTCTAATCCAGGTGCACTAGCTGTTAGAATAGAACAGAAGGGCCAAGAACAAAAACTATTTTGATTATAAAGAGTAATTACATGTAGGAAATAGTAATCGTTGAGTTATAGATCACTCCAGAGTTTTAGTTTTTTAAAAGATTTTATTGATCTATTTGAGAGAGAAAGAGAGAACACATGTTGAGGAAGGGCAGAAGGAAAGGGAGAAGCAGACTCCCTGGCAAGCGGAGAGCCTGACATGGGCTCTATTTGGGGCTCGATCCCAGGATCCTGAGATTATGACCTGAGCCAAAGGCAGACACTTAACCAGCTGAGCCACCCAGGGGCCCCAGATCACTTCAAAGTTTTAAAATGGATGTTTGGAAGAAGTGTGATTCCATTAACTGCAAGGGGAAGAAAAGAGAGAAGGGAAGATTACTTACTGAATTTTGGACGCATATTGAATATATGGGTTTATTTCATATGTATCTCCTATTTCTTAGATTCCAGCTTTCCTTATCTTTGGAAAATCAGCTTATCTGTAATATACATCCAGAACCTTCTTATCCTGCTTCTTCCACCTTTGGAGTCTCTGTCCAGGAAATTTATAGATGTTCCATCTAAGAAAACTCCTTAGATTCTGTACCACATTCAAATTCATTCTGTGTTAGAGTCAATGTTTTAATTGCAAACTATACCATTATGAAAAGAGAACCCAGTACATAAACAGCTGTCATCAGAGTTAGAGGTATGGTACCTTCCAGCCCTTCATCTTGCTGTGGGAAGCCACAAAATCTGGTTGTCTGACCTCTGGGAGTAAAAAGATAATAGGCCACCTAACTGCTGAGTGGATCCTGAGCCTAGCTATGGCACATCCTAAGCTTGATCTGACATCTGAATCCTGTCTAGCTAGGGAGGCAGCCTGGAAAGTGTTCTGTACACAGTAAGTTGATCCTACTTTAGATAGTATGACATGTCAACTGTGTGAAAAGAATTGTCTTAGGTACTCTTCAAACTAGCAAGGAAGTGATAGGCTCTTTGCCATCCAAGAGCTACAGTCTAGGCTAAGAACCAAATGTATACTGAATTTTAGACTAATTATACAACAGTGTATCAAGTATGCTTGATCCTTACAGATAAAAATAGAAATGTTGAAGAAAAACAGTTATAGAATACCAAAAAGGCTAAGAGAGCAGGGATGGGATCATTGAAGCCTGGTGAGTTTAATTAAACTCTGAATTTCCTTGTGACTGGGATTCAGTTTCTTCCTGTGAGTTCATCTCCCCCATGTTGTAGGGAGAAAGAAAGTGGCCAGTGACAACCATGATAACCATGTACTGAGCTCCTCCTGTTTTATGAGAATCTCTGCAGGAGTTTACAGTGTTGTCACTCTGCTGAGTTCTGAAAACATTTACTGAGAATGAATTCTGTGCAAGGAGGATACATTAAAAAAGATTAATAACCAAATAAGGTCATATGTTAAGCACATTCTAGATGAAGTGAACAGTGAACCAGGAGAAGCTTCTTGGAAATAGGGGATTTGGAAATGGTTCCTAGAGAATGAGTAGAAATGAGGCAGTTTGTGGGGAATGAAAAGATTGCCCACATGGAAGCCAACATGACCAAAAGTGAAGATACAGGAATATTGTGGAAGAGTCCAGAGGCAGTGAGCATATCTGCCGGCCAAAGTAGAGGATTCTCTGAGGGGCATAATGAAACTTAAGCTGGAGAGTAAGCTTGGGGTAGATTGTGGAGGGCCCAGAATATCCAATATTAGTCTAAATATTGTGAAAACAATGAGGCTCTCTTCTACCAAGTGCTTATAGGATTATTTTTTTAAAAAACAGTTTTATTGGGGTCCCTGGGTGGCTCAGCGTTTGGGTGTCTGTCTGCCTTCGGCGTGATCCTGGGGTCCTGGGATTGAGTCCCACCCATACTGGGCTCCCTGCATGGTGCCTGCTTCTCCCTCTGCCTCTGTCTCTGCCTCTCTCTCTCTGTGTGTTTCTCATGAATAAATAAATAAAATATTTTTTAAAAAATAAAAATAAAAACAGTTTTATTGAAAGATAACTCACATACCAGAAACAAAAGCTGTGCTTTGGCCAGAGTGTGCAGCTTAAGCACCAGCTTTGCCTCCTGCTCTGAGTGGTTCTGGGTTCTATGTTTCCTCAGCCCTCTGTTACACTTGCTCTTATAGGTGCCTCCATTGCTCTAATGGACAAAGAAGGATTGACAGCCCTCAGCTGGGCTTGCTTGAAGGGTCATCTGTCAGTAGTCCGTTCTCTGGTGGATAATGGAGCTGCTACAGACCATGCTGACAAGAACGGCCGCACCCCCCTGGATCTGGCAGCTTTCTATGGTGATGCCGAGGTGGTGAGTGCCTTTACAGAAGCCTTTGCATAGCATAGGTAGGGAAGGTTCTCCATCCATAATGTCATCTGGGATTAAGGGTAGAGTAGCATGTTGATGATTTCTGATAGAAAGTTCGTGGACCTGTACTTGCTAGAGGACAGGAATATTCAAAACACCACTGAAGACCAAGAATACATGTATGGCCTGAAATACCATGGCTGCTCAGCCTGGTTCAGAGCAGCAGTTGAATAAAAAGCCCAGGCAGCAGCCAAAGCCCTCAGTGGAGCTCTGCTGAGCCACTGCACTTGTGTTAACTGTTCTGCTTGATCCATGTTCTAGGTCCAGTTCTTGGTGGATCACGGGGCCATGATTGAACATGTTGACTATAGCGGAATGCGCCCTTTGGATAGGGCAGTGGGGTGCCGGAACACTTCTGTTGTTGTCACTCTTCTGAAGAAAGGAGCCAAGATAGGTAGGAGAAAGGAAAAAGGTGCTGGCCATCTGTGCCCGGGGGCCAGAGTGGCCCAGTGGTCTGGCTGCCCTGGGTGTTTGGTGTGAGTGTGTATAGTTTCCCCTCTGCCCTGGCCCAGTTGTTTTCAAGTGAACAGAAAGGCTCTTGGCCCAGAGAAAGCACCATCTGAGCCACGGTCTACACCACTCTGTGTCCAGACTCACATGGTTCTCTGCCATGCCCTTAGGGGCCTCAGCCAGGAGGCTGCTCTGACCTCAAGCACATCTTAGTGCTAATGCCTGTGTGCCAGCCCCGCCCTGTGAGCATCCTCGATCCCTGCACTGTCGTGAGCCTCTGCTTTCCCTTGCTCTGTATGTGCTTCAGACTCTCCAGTCCCTGCTGCTGCCGCCCCACCTGCTCCCCCATCCCTCAGACCCGTAGACAAGGGTTGGCTGATATGCTGGCTTTTTTGCTGCCTGCCTCTCACTGCTGCTTTTTCCTTCTTTTTTTTTTTTTTTTCACCTTCATCCATTTTTTTTTCCCTCTCCTACAACTTTTTGTTTTCTCCTTTCTTTGAAGGTTGTCAGACGTTACCGAGTCGCCCACGAGGTATATTTCACCGCTGTCAGCATCAGGCGTGGTCTGATGGCTTGGTCAGCTTTGCCTTCTCCTCTTTGATTTAGCCTGCATGAGTTCCCTACACCTCTAATCTTTTAATTTACTTCACCTTAAAAGAAGATTTTTTTTAATGACTGTTGTAGAGAATAACTTGAACTTTTGATAACTAACCCTGGAAAGCTTAGTTGGTAAATAATTCAGGTGTCTATGAACTAATCAGTTTAACCTCTTCTTTCTCTTTGTGGGTAAAGTAGTCCTCAGTAATGTCGGCTTGTTGGCTTGTTTCACATCTTTTGACATTTGAACTGTGCTCCTGGTTCAAAGTAAATCCCAGGGAGGCCTATTCAATACTTACTCCCAATTAAGGGAGCCTTTAGAATCTTTAATGATTCCCCTTCTACAAAGTATATATTTTTAAATTAAGAGACTAAACAACTAGGGATCATGAGTCCCAAGGTTGCCTTTTTTGGATTTTTTAGATCTTGTGGTAACATTTAATGTAAACCTTCTCCTAATGACCTCATTTAAAATAACTCCAGAGTAAGCCATGGCCTGCCCAAATACAACACGTTGGCAGGCTTTGCTGCCCTCTTGTGGTGCAAGCTCAGACAGTTCAGACGTTCTTATTTTAAGGTGAATAGAAATCCAGCGCAGCTTCTTGGCAGTGGGAGTCCCTAAGATACTCCCAGGTCTAAACGATGAGGAAATTGTTGTGGAGCAAGTTGTTCTCTCAGCAGAAATCCCCCAGGATGTTTTTTTCACCTAGCTTCCTGCCACCCTTACATTGTCTGAGTTTTTTACCCATCATGCATCCTGTACACTACAGGTCCAGCCACATGGGCGATGGCCACCTCCAAACCAGACATCATGATCATCCTGTTGAGCAAGCTGATGGAAGAGGGGGACATGTTTTATAAGGTGAGGAGAGGAAGAAACAGTTTCCTTAAAGCAGCCAGTGACTCTTTTCTACATGTAGAATTTACTAAAGTCTTGACAGTCTCATCTTCAGCTCTAAGGCAAAGGGAGACTGCTATCCCTCAGTGATGGGCTCATAAGTCGAAGATACTGAGTTTTTAATTTCCCAACAGGAGAGCAGAAGGGCCTATATATAAGCCTGTAGCTGATCAACTTGAAGACCTAATTTTAACTGGTCACTAGTAGGCAGTTATATAAATCATGCATGGAATCCGCTAAGTGGGACCTGGAAACTCATGGGACAAGTGAAGTAAAACTATGTAGTAGAGATATTTCTAGTCCATGGGAAAGAGGCATTGATCTTTGCTTTCATATTTAATTTATACATAGATTTAAAAGTCTGTAGTAATAATAGCTTGTTAACATCCCTGAGTAAGATAAGGAAAGCAAGACAAATAGCAGTTATAAGATTTGCTTAAGTCACTCACTGAATCACAACAAAAAAGCATGGAGTCTTTTTGTGCTCACAATTTTAGCTGAAGGCCTATAACCCTAACACAGACTCTCTCCCATGGCCTATAGGAAGTCCCAAAAGAACATTACATGTCAGGGCACCTGGCTGCCTCAGTCAGAAGAACATGTGATTCTTGTTGTGAGTTTGAGCCCCACAGTAGGTGTAGAGATTACTTAAATAAATAAAACTTAAAAAAAAAAAAAAGAACATGTCACGGTTGTCTGGTTAAGATTATCAGCATCTTCTCCTGAAGGTAAATATAAATCCAACCTCAATGAGATATTTCCCAGGCCCAAAGATGGGAAATGATCAAGAAACGCATTATTATGTAAGAAACATACAGAGTTCCTGGGAGCAGAGTTGTGTTTTCTGAGGATGAAAGTCATGGTAATCTAGGACTCCTGGACTCCAAGGAAACTGGAGTCCTGACCCAACCAGTATTTCACATGACTTCCAAGAAGTCGTTACTCTGGGTGTTACATTTATGGACTTGGGGATAGCATTGCTCTCAGGAATCTAAGCCCTGGTCATAATATAACCTCTGATATTCCAAGAAAAGGAGTCCTACTTCCTAAGGAGAAGAGGCCCAACTACTGCTGTTCCCACCCAGAATTCTACCTTGGCGTACTCCAGATCCCTCCTTAATGAAAGATGCTGAAGACATAATCAAAAGATCAGGATCCTTGGTGGAGTTACAGCTATACAGAAGAAATGGAGCAGATTAAGATCAGTGGAATGAATGGGAGATGCCTCCTGCATTATTCTGAGTTCAGCTTCTAGATTTTCCTTTGTTTTATTTTGTGTGTGTGTGTATGTATGTATTAGCTGATAGATTTTCAGATACAAAATGTGAGGAAAATTCAAGGCCCCTGTTACCAGGTCCCTAAGTTGATCATAGATTTACTGCATCTTGGAAAATCCCTCCTACATAGATCACAAATTCTAAACTCCTCTACTACCACCCTATCCCCAGCCTTTTCTAAAAGCAGGGGAACACTGACATACAATTTTATGCATTGAGATTCAGGAAGCAACAGCTAGACTGTTTTAGCTCCCACCTCCTTTGTGAGGAAGAGAATGACCTGTTGTACAGGACTGGCAAGGAGGAGCATCAGACAGGAAGTATTCCAGGCAAGCCAAAAGTAAAGAAGTAGTAATAACTCTGTAGTGGTTGGGACTAGGAAATGATATGTGTCCCAGGGATGTAGAGTCAAGAAAAAGCTCCTTTGAAATGAGCAAGATCGGTCTCTTGGGAATCCAGTCAGGAAGCCTGAGGTTCCAGGTGTTGGTTCTCTGGCTTGTGTCTTGGGGTATCCCCTTCAACCTTGCCCTTCCTGCCAGGTGAGTTTCCTATTGAAAAGACTGGACCCTCTGCTCTCACTGCCGGGGCCAGACCTCATCCCCAGGCTGGTGTTTGGGAGGGTGAACTTAATCATCACTGCAGAGAGGAGGAAGGGAATGGGGGCCGGACCTCCTCAGTTGCTCAGCAGACCAACTGTGTGTTTTGCCATCTTGTACTCCCATTAGAAAGGTAAAGTAAAGGAGGCTGCCCAGCGCTACCAGTATGCTCTGAAGAAATTCCCCCGAGAAGGATTTGGTGAGGACTTGAAAACCTTCCGGGAACTAAAGGTGTCTCTCCTCCTCAACCTCTCTCGATGTCGCAGGAAAATGAACGTAAGTCCCTCTCCTCCCAGCTGCTTTCTACAGCCCTGGAAGCTGACAGTCCACATCACTCACTGGCTCTTACCAGGCCCCTGAAATCGTTCTCTGCCCCATTTGGAACTTGGTTGTCCTTCACAGAGCACTGACATTTGCAATTTGAAAGAAATCAAGTCTGAGTATGCTCCGTATCTTAAACTATAAAAAAGTTAATGCTATGGGCACTTTTGGAGCTTTCTGAATTTTTAGTTCCCACCAAAAGTGATTTGAAATACCATCATCATCGTCTCCTATCCCCAAGTCAGTTTTCCAGTCTTTGGGAAAATGTGGGAGCAGTGGTCACTCTAATTCCAGCTGCAATTGGATATGAATTGTAGTCACTCCCTTCCTTTCTGGTAGGCCCATCGTCACTTAAGGAAGGGCTGGAAAGACAGCTCAGGACCATGGACTTCAAGGTTTATTTCAAAGGCTAATCTAATTGAACTTTTCACTCCTTTCCTCATCTTTGTACTCCAGCATGCCCTGGCTCTTCTGTCACGGAGGGAACCATAGGACTCTTCCTGCTCCTCTATTACCTCCCAAATAGTCCTTGGTCCTTTTCACCTGCCATGCAGAAACAGTCTCTGATGCCCTCAGCCACAGCTTCCGTGACACACAGATACTCCCAGGCCGAGAACCCTCTCTCAGAGATTGGCAAGAGCTGAGATTGTGTCAGAAACCTCTGATAACCCCCTGCCTGAGGTCTCACAGTTCCTCAGGAGCTAAAAACAATCCACCCTGAAAAAGAATGCCAATGAATAGGGCGCTCAGCTGTGCAGAAGTGAGATTTCAGCTGCAGGGGCAAGAGGCCTGCTGTCAGTTCCAGAAAGAGGTTGTTTGTGTGTACAACCTTCATCTCCTCCAACTAAACCCTGGCAATCAGAAAAGCCCTCGTGTCGACATGCGTGTCTCAGAGAACAGAGTTATGGCCCAAAGAGGCAGAGTTGCCCAGGGTGCTAAGGAGAGTGGGGACAGGGTAGCAGTTCCTGTTGGGAAGGGGATGCCCCAAGGAAGGCACTGAGGCTCTTCTGTGAAACAGAACCAGACCAGCGGTACCCATGCCCCCCGCAAGGCACTAGCCAGTGAGAATGAGACAGTGCTCAGGAGCCGCTACCAGCCTGCCGCCTTCTCTTTTGCCTAAACAAATAATCTACTTCTTAAAAGCATTCTAATCTTGCCAAAAATGATGATTGTCCAAAGAAAAAAGATAAGAATGGAGACAGTAGCAATAGGAGAGGACTTCCGTAAGTTGGAATACTTCCTTGCTAGCTTCACGCTTGCTCAGAAACAGTTACCAGTCACCTCCCATGACCAATACTGTACGAAGCACCTGAGGTCCATCTTCTTCCGTCTGAGATAGCTTGTCACTTTTCCTTGTTAACTTCTACCTATGCCCCAGCCCTTCATTCTGCCTCAGGAGCCATGCATGTCACCAGAAGTTACTGTGCTGTCCTAAGGCTTTGACATTGAAAGAAGAGAAAGAACTCTCCTTTTAGCTTAGTATGGAAGAGTACCTTTACAACTCTGGCTTTGTTCCCCAGAACCCCCGTTCCCAGGGTTCTCAGATGAGGACAGATGAGACCATGCTCCTTGAGGGAGCCTCAGTGATCGAGGGATGAAGTGACAGCACAAACCCTAGTCACAGCCAGGGCCCTCTCTTACTTTATTTTTGTTGTTTTAAATGCTTCCTAAGTAAGGAACCAGTTATGAGGAAAAGACCAGAGAAACCCCTGTGAAATAGAAGGGAAACTACCATTTACTAAGCATCTGCTATGTGCCAGCAACGGTGTTGGGTCTTTCAAAGGTGTTCTCGCATTTCATCCTGTCTGTGAAGTAGCTATGGATGCAAAAACACGCCACCCCCTCTGAGGGGTTGTGGGGCCGACCAGAGGACTGAACCCAAGTCTGTGTGGCACCCCTACCCCATCTAGTTAGTCTCCATGGTCAGTGCAGTTCTCCCTTCCACAAACCTCATCCTGCTGGATCTCACTCACCCCCTAGAGGGCGTGACAGGAAGCTGGGGGATAGGATGAGGCCCCCATGTTTGCCTCACACACATACGTGTGACAAGAGTTCAGGTTTCTAACTTCAGGAGCCTCATTGGGTTAACATTTGGCTTCTGGGCTAGAAGGAATTTCATTAGAAAAGCAGAAGAAGGCAAATGAAAAGTATTTCAATGCTTCTGGGCAGGTAAATTCCCGGGAGTTGTTGCAGGCCACACAGGGCAAAGGCAAAAGGAGCTTCTAGCCTAGGCCACATGGCTAGAGCCATGCCAGGCATGTCAGGAACCCCACGTGTTCCGTCCATAAATGTCAAAGAAATGTACATATAATCTGTTTTATTCCCAAACTGTCTATTTTTCATATCTCTTCAATGACTCATTTGCACACCTATTGTAATGACAGGATTTTGGAATGGCGGAGGAATTTGCTACTAAGGCCCTGGAGCTGAAACCGAAATCTTATGAAGCTTACTATGCAAGAGCAAGGGCAAAACGCAGCAGCAGGTGAGGAGAGAGAGAGAGGGTGACGAGCAAGATGTCTCTTTTCCAAAAGTCTGGCCAAAGCAATGTAGGCCATCCTGGGGCATATGTACCCAAATGTGTCTCTCCCTGAGGACTTTGAGGGCCATGCTTTGGGGATGGCTCCCATAGCATAGAACTCCGCTTGATACTGGCAAATCTTCAGGGCTATGGAGATCTAGAACATTTTACTTTGGGAGAAAAATGCCTTTGTGTTGCTAGAGAATGGTACCTTCTTCCATGAAGCCTCTGCTATCTCTCAATCGCTTTTTAACCCCTAGAGCAGACAGCATGAAGACACACTGGTGCCTTAAGAAGAGGTCACTTAAGCAAAATATCCTTCTGGCCCTTTTAGAAGGAAAAGTAGAATGGGTCACTTATATGGCAGGCTCCTCTTTTCCTGTAGGCATTTGAGGAGTCCCTGGGTCATTTAATCTTCCTTCTGAGTCTCTCCTCAAGTCTGGTAGCATCAGACCTCCTCCTCACCTAAGTCACCACCACCACACCACACCCTCACGGAGACAGGAGGTCCCTGCTGCCAGGATTGAGGGGGCCCAAGAGAAACTGCATCCCTCGTGTCCATCTGCTGTGGCTTGGCCAGTGGACATGAAAGGCTCCAGAAAGACCTAGAACCTGCCATCACTGATCTTTGGATAACTTGTCACTGTCCTTGATGCCTCCTGCCCAGTGCCCTACCCTTCTTCCCAACTCTGCCCAGGAAAGAATTGCTTCAGGTGCACTGTTGTGGCCAGGGGAGGATATGCTCCTAACAACCAAACCCAGGTTAAGTCTAGTGACAACAGTGGCAGTAATATTAGTCTTAACTAGCTGGGGTAACAAAGTCCTTATAGAAGCTTAACTGTCAAATTCTCTTTTTCCCCAGATAATTCCTTCCCCACAAGGGCAGTTGCCGCTTTCCTGGGCGATATTAATAGGATGGGAATATGTCTGAGAGTTTGTGTCTTCATCTGTAAATTAGAATCTGAGTTGCCTAGTCAGCAAGCCTAATACCTGCCCAGCTCTGATGTAGCAGAACGGAGGAATAGCAGTGCTGTGGGGCGAGGGGGAGAAAGGGGCAGAAGACAGGCTTCTTGCCAAGGACTGAACAGGCCTGAAATTTGGAGCCAAAATATTGAGAATACAAAGAAAAAATTATGCTGGATCAGCAAGATTTTTAAATATTGTAGTTACTGTTTTGTTCCTAAGCTAATTGACAGTGACCCTGTAAATGACAACCCCACCCAACCCTCATACTGCCTGGTGTGCATTTGCACACTTACAGAATCTTCCGGAAGGGCCTGGCGGGACTAACAAATGGGACCATTTCTCTGCTAATCCCAGAGAGGCCAGAAGGAAGATGGAGGCTAAACAGGCTAAGGACGCATTCTGGACTCTTCCAGAATGACAGCCTCCCTGTTTCCTTCCTTACAAATCAAACGAAAGCAACCCCAATGCCCGCCCAGACTCCCACAGATACTATCCCCAGTTCTCTGAATAGTGACTGCCTCCTCAGCTCTTGGTAATTCCTGTTGATTCAGAATAACTCCAGTTCCTGTGTTTACATTTTGTCAAGCAGACAGTTTGCAGCAGCCTTAGAGGATCTGAACGAGGCCATCAAGCTCTGTCCAAACAACCGTGAGATCCAGAGACTCCTGCTGCGAGTGGAGGAGGAATGCCGCCAGATGCAGCCGCCGCCACCACCTCAGCAGCCGCCTCAGCCGCCTCTCCCAGAAGAAGCGGAACCGGAACCACAGCACGAAGACATATACTCTGTACAGGATATATTCGAGGAGGAGTACCTGGAGCAGGATGTTGAAAATGTTTCCATTGGCCTCCAGACCGAGGCTCGGCCCAGTCAGGGGCTCCCAATAATCCAGAGCCCGCCCTCCTCTCCGGCCCATCGGGACTCAGCCTACATCTCTAGCTCACCACTTGGCTCGCATCAGGTTTTTGACTTCCGTTCCAGTAGCTCTGTAGGTTCTCCCACCAGACAGGGCTATCAATCCACCTCACCCGCTCTTTCTCCGACTCACCAGAACTCTCATTACAGGCCTAGTCCTCCGCATACTTCCCCAGCCCACCAGAGCGGCTCTTACCGCTTTAGCCCCCCGCCCGTGGGAGGACAGGGCAAGGAATACCCAAGCCCCCCTCCTTCCCCTCTCCGGAGAGGCCCCCAGTATCGGGCCAGCCCTCCTGCTGAAAGCATGAGTGTCTATAGATCTCAGTCTGGCTCACCCGTGCGCTATCAGCAAGAAACAAGTGTTAGTCAGCTTCCTGGCAGACCGAAATCCCCATTATCCAAAATGGCCCAGCGGCCCTACCAGATGCCTCAGCTTCCTGTGGCAGTTCCCCAGCAAGGGCTTAGGCTACAGCCTGCCAAGGCCCAGATTGTGAGAAGCAACCAGCCCAGCTCAGCGGTTCATTCAAGCACTGTCATCTCCACAGGGGCCTATGGCCAAGTAGCCCACTCGATGGCTAGTAAATACCAGTCTTCACAAGGAGACATGGGAGTAAGTCAGAGCCGATTGGTTTATCAAGGGTCAATTGGGGGGATCGTAGGAGATGGGAGACCTGTGCAACATGTCCAGGCTAGCCTAAGTGCAGGTGCCATCTGTCAACATGGAGGGTTGACCAAAGAAGACCTTCCACAGCGACCTTCCTCAGCATATCGGGGTGGTATGAGATACAGCCAGACGCCACAGATTGGGCGTAGTCAGTCTGCATCCTATTACCCAGTCTGTCACTCAAAACTAGATCTGGAGCGTTCCTCCAGCCAGCTAGGTTCCCCTGATGTGTCACATTTAATCAGAAGACCTATTAGTGTCAACCCTAATGAAATCAAGCCCCATCCACCCACTCCCAGGCCGCTGCTGCACTCCCAGAGTGTAGGCCTCCGCTTCTCTCCATCCAGCAATAGTATCTCATCAGCTTCCAACCTCACTCCTACCTTCCGGCCATCTTCTTCGATTCAACAAATGGAGATCCCACTAAAACCGGCGTATGATAGGTCATGTGATGAGCTGTCACCAGTGTCTCCCACTCAGGGAGGTTACCCCAGTGAGCCCACCCGATCCAGGACCACACCATTCATGGGGATCATAGATAAAACAGCCCGGACTCAACAGTACCCCCACCTTCACCAGCAGAATCGGACCTGGGCCGTGTCATCAGTGGATACCGTTCTCAGCCCCACGTCTCCAGGCAACCTGCCTCAGCCCGAGTCCTTCAGTCCACCATCATCCATCAGCAACATTGCCTTTTATAACAAAACCAACAATGCACAGAATGGCCATTTGCTGGAGGACGATTATTACAGCCCCCATGGGATGCTGGCTAATGGGTCCCGTGGAGACCTCTTGGAGAGAGTCGGCCAGGCCTCCTCATATCCTGATGTGAAGGTGGCTCGGACCCTCCCTGTGGCTCAGGCATACCAGGACAACCTGTACAGGCAGTTGTCCCGGGACTCTCGACAAGGGCAGACATCCCCTATCAAACCAAAGAGACCATTTGTGGAGTCTAATGTTTAAAAGACGTTTGTTGGAGTGAGACCCATATGTTTTCACTGCACATTTTCAGGCTTGGTTTCCACATTTGAGGTAGTTCTCTGGCTTAATTTCTCATGTAGTTTCTGTGTGGTGTTCAGAGGTGGCAGCCCACATGCCGGAGTTCTTTGCATGCAGCCGACCGGGAAGCTGGCCTCCAGGGAGCCAGGACTTCGGTTTCTCTCGTCTGTGCCCCAGCCACATGCTCTCTCCCTCTCTTCCGATGCCAACGAGGAGATTGTTGTGCCGTGTGCTTTAACCCAGGGAGATCAGACACACTGGTCAGCTTTTTCCAGGAGACAATCGCTTTCACTGATGTTCTTGTTGTGTGAATGTCTTTCTCCTTTTTTACAAAAATAAGGTGTTCTTGTTTGTTTTCTTCTAGGAACTTTAGAAAGAGTATGATGCCCCTTTGCCTTTGCATTCTTATCCAGTGTTATCCAAATAGCCAACCCCAGTGCATTCTTGTGCCATGGTCTCCTCCCCAGGACTGCCAGCTCCCTGCAGTCATCAGGTCTAGAATGTTCATTTAGGTTATTGCTGGTCTTCCTACGGGGGCAGAAGGATCAAGGAGAAAGAGAAGAAACAGGTCTATTAAATTGGAAGAAAAAAACCAATATAATTATTTAAAATGTCACTACACTGATTTTCCAAGAAGTGTTTATGAGTATTTAGAAAACAACCAGCCCTTTAAATATTTCACTCAGCCAAGGAAATCGGATGAGGATCATGGATATTTTAAAATAATTCACCAAGAGGTATTCTTTAGGTTTTTAGCCAACAATTAACTATTAAAATCTACTGATTTTTCAGGGGTGGTGGGGGCAGCATTGGGGATGGCAGGAATACATAAATAGAGCAAGAGGAAGACTGTTCTTGATTCTCAGTGAAAGGCTAGAGAAAAATCTTTGTCTTGGAGAAGTCTGCTCTTTAGGTCCTGATGTATCATTGAGCATCATATTCCACAAAAGCAAGCCCTTCCTGGAGTGTGACTGGTACAATAATCCTGTCAGTGGGTCTTCACCCAGAGGCCCGATTGTGTTCTTACCAGCCCTCCTCTTTAAAACCCACGTGGTATAGTGAAAAGATTGGTTCTCTGAGAAGCAAACAATTCTCTTGGAACTCTATTCCTGAAGTTTGCACCCAGGGCCACTGCACCCTGTGCCAGATGTCATCTGATTGCATTTCCAGATCTAGTTTAATTATCTATTACTCTAGGAATTGTTTCTTCTTTTCTTTTTCGAGGTAGGAGTGTTTGGGGAGCGATCTTTGAAAACCAGACACAGCAAAGTGTTTCAGGGAGAAGACAGACCCCTTTCAGCCTTGGGTGGGGGCACAGGAGACAGACAGCAGGTCTTCTGATCCAGCTACCCTCCACCCTTCTGTGTCTTGTGGTCATTTGCTGACCTGTCCTGTGCGTGACTGAGGCCAGCATGAGATGGACAGCAAGAACACTGAAACCAAAGCCTTAGCACAGGCCTGGTACTGACTGCACATCAGCTCTGAAAACTTCAGAAACTGGACAAAAGAGAATTTGTTCTCTGTCCTTAGGAATCATTCTGCTCTTGTTCGTAAAGGGCTATTGGAAGGGCAGTTTCCTGAATAAAAATCCAGATGTGACCAGACCTGTTTGTAATAGTAAGTGTCCTCTGAAAGTATCACTAAGACACAGTGAGCATGAAGCTGAGATCAGAAACATTTCGCTACTATTTTAGATTCTGCCAAATAGATGGACCCTCCGCCCCCAAGCCTGAAACAGGCCAGGACTTGTCTCTCTGTGCTAGAAGCAGACAGCTGGGCCAGCTCAAGACCCAGACTCTTTCCACTCTCTCTGATGCCTAGGGACTGTCTCCTACTCAGCTAGCCGAGGGCAGGTGCCAGTGTCTTATCCCTTCTCTTCTCCTTCCACCTCCCTCCCTCCCTCCCTCCCTCCCCCTTCCTTCCTCCCTCCCTCCCTCTCTCTCTCTCTCTCTCTCTCTCTCTCTCTCTCTCTTTCTCTCTCTCTCTCTGAGAAGATGAAGTGTTCAGCTGTAGCACCAGCCTGCAGCCAGGAGCCCAGCTCCCGCTTTGTCCAGGTCTCAGCCCTATGGGGCCCTTTGCATCTCCTCCCTTCGTCACCTCTCACTGAGGAGCTGCTGCTACATTCTGAGAAATTTCTGTATCTGTCAGGAAAGTGCCCCTGCTTATTTGAAACACCACCACACATACCACCCGTACTCAGCTGTCTAGGCAAGTGAGCAGGTTCTGCATTTTACAAACATGCCACTGATGCCACTTGTCCCCAGGGTCTTTCGATTTTCCTGGACAAACCGGAGATTGCGGGTCTATGCCTTACTGGGCAAAACACTTAAAACAGTCAAAATGCAATTCTTTGTTAGCCATTGTATGAGGCAGTGAATATCACTACTGGGCTCCAGTTGAGTTTGACTAGAATATGCCAACTAGACCATACTGGGGACAGGCGACCGTTTTTCCCTGTAAGCAGACTGCCTGTGCTCTGTTGCACTACTTCACTGCCATGGGCTGATCTTAGTACTGAATCTCCGAGATGCCCTCTCCCCCAGCAGCACTTGCTGAGTCAATGTCTGGCCTCCAGTGGGGGAAGTTTTTCAGATGAGCCTGGTAGGTTCCACTCACCCAGTTCACATCACCCTGAAATGGAGACAGTAGTAACAGACTTCAGCCTCTAGATTTCTCACCAAATTGTACGTTTCGTTCACCCAGAATTCTTGCACTAATGGGTTCCCATCACATGTCTATAAATGGGTGCACTTTACTGTTTGAATTTGTAACTCTGATAAATACTGGATATTTAAGTGTGCGTGATGTCTTCATTAGAAAATAGCAAAACCGCTCTTGTCTTTTAGTGTATCTTCCAAGGAAGAAAAAAAAAAGGAAAGAAATCAAGCAGTGGATCACAACATTTATAGCACAAGAAATAACTTGTATATAAGCATCAAAAAGATTAAGGATTTTTAAATACAAAAAAATATTTGCAGTGATTTTAAAGTGCTTTTCCAGCAATTTTCTTAGGGACTCCTGAGACATGGTTACTTTATTTACTGGATCAGTAAGGCACACAATTAACAATTAAAAATTAATGTTTATTTACAAAGTAAAGGGAAAACCTGTGTAACATGAGAATTTGGCACGGACAAAATGGAGACCATTTTGTATCTGCTGTTGTATCTTGTCCGGGTTGCAGACGTGCACTATTAAAGCCCCAAGTTAATAGAGCACAAACCCTTCTGTTCCTCTCCCATGTGCCCCTCTTTCTAGATGTGTTTAACTGAAACTCGAAGGCTCAGGAAAATCCTACTAATTAGAATCATGTACAGTACCCCAGGTCATTGTCCAGAGATACAAGTTTGCTAATTTAGTCAAGCCTGGATTATTAAACACTTTTCCTAAATTATTGTAAACAGATCAGCCTAGAGAAAGGTATTCTCGGTCCTCATATTGTATAGTAGTTTATGAACCCCTCTCGAAATATTGGTATTTTTATATTCCAGAGATGTACCCAATAGAAAAATTAACCAGTATCTAATTTAATATCCATAAGTATTTTCCTTAGATATTTAGTCCTGTACAGTGGGTTATGTGGACATCACCTTGCTTCAACCAACCACATTCTACCACTAGTCACTAGGTGTCACTGTGGCTCTGCACCAGGCTTGTCTGGTGGCAAAGGAGGGCAGCATGTCCCCCTGGAGGAGCCGCCTCCAGGGTAGCCCGCAGGCCCAGAGGGTTCAGGAAGGAGGGACAGAGGCCTGCAGAGGTGTCTTCACGGATCTGTGCCAGTTGTGGCAAGATAAGCTCTTTGAACACTACCTGCTTTGGACCTTGAGCCAGGCAGAGGCTGGGAGAATGCCGACTAGAACTCACTTGCTCTGGTGGATGGGTGGGTGTGAGTAAGACTCCTTTACTCCCCACAAGCACCCCTTCTCAGTTCCTCTTGGCCTCCAACTTTTATAACTCCAGAGATGTCACAGTTGGGTGGTTTGATTCAAAAATAGTTATTTTTCTACTGCAGAAATGCCTTGGACAAAACCAGTTGCTCACTGAATCTTTGCCACAAAACGGAACAGGCTCCCCCTCCCTCTCCCAGCCTCTCCCACCCTGTCTGTCTGTCCTTGGGCTGCCCACTTCTCAAGAAACCAACTTGCAAAGGCAGCCTGCTGCTGCTTCCACACCGAGGCCTGTGCTGCCCCGTTGAGTGAACATTGGGAGGTGTGGCTTTTTCTCCTTTTCCTCTAGGAATTCCAGACTGACCATCTACCATGACTAATAACAATGAACAAAGGGCTTAGGGGTAAGAGCTACCTACAAAGATGTGTCATGGAAACCTTCACCATGCAATGCCTTGAACTCAGCTCTGGCTGCTCCCAAGAAAAGGTGGCGGCGGGGGGGCGGGGGGCCTGGACACAAGCACAATGGGAATGGTGGAGCCACTGTGCAGAGCTACTTGAATAATCACTGGGTCTTCATCAACTCTTATAACACAGACCACTCAAGGGCTGAAGTGTTGGTAACCTGCATTTCGGTGTCCAATGCCTCACAGCTGCTGAACCACCCTGAGATGCTTGTGGCCACATGATGGCCAGTCAGAGCTTTGCAAGTCTGTACCAAATGAATGCGTAATTGGACACCAAAAATCAAGTGTTACTTTCATGTTTCCTCACCCATATCATCTCACTTCTTCCTGCTGACTCTGATAATCTCCACTAAGCTGACCTGTCAGGTTTTAGCTGAACGCATATAGATGCAGGCCAGTATCACTCTCGTTTTTCAGACAGACTTACTCTCTGGAAAGGAAGGAGCCTAGCTGCTTTGTTTTTGTAGCACTTACTGGCTGGAGTTTTCTTTTGCCTAATCGCTAACCAGAACACATGGTTAGGGGGACTCAACTCAGTCCCTTTGGTCCCCAGGACCAGACAGACAGTTAATTCTGGAAATTCAGTACTTGAATGTACCTGCCTTATTGTGTACCAGCTTACTGGAAAAAAAAAAAAAAAAGAAATGCTGGCTCCAGATCTCGCCTTCATTGACAGGTTATTTTGGGAATCCTGTAAGTTACACTTCCTGTTCCGGTTTGGTTTTGTTTTTGTTTTTGTTTTTTTCCTTTGGCTGATTCCTGCTGAGTGGGGCCAGTTCCTCATCAGGCTCAGGGCAGGTGCCATCCTCAGGCATGGCCTCCTTTCCATTTAGCGCAGCATCTCCGTCTCTGTTCTGTCTCCTCCAAATCCAAGATGATTTTAATTAGTACAGACATGTACAGTCTACACTTACAGAGTGATTTGTACTAATATGATTTTGATTCCTCCTCCTCTTTGCTGTCCTTTCAAGACACTTGCTGGAAAAAGCTTTAATGCACTTAGTTTTCCTTTAGGTTTTCTATGATTCAGATGTAAAGGACTTTCTCTGTACAGTATATTATCCAATGCATGTTTGTTCTCTCTCCCGATATATTGAACACCACGCAGTTGTGAACTCGTGCAGTGGGGATGTCCCACACCCAACAGAGGCATTTAGCCCCCTGTGTATAAGGAAAGACATTTTCCTTTGCTGTACTTGCTTGAGCAGTTGTATTGTCTGTACATGTGAGCTGTGTGAGATAGATGTGAAAAGTTCAATGAATGCATTTCCCTGCCCATGTGTACAGATCGCCATCCGTACAATGAACTGTATGTATGAAAGCAAATGTACTTATTTATAAAGGGTAACACTTGGAAAAACCTGGTATGGTGGTGCTTTCTCCTTCCGTTACAGTGCCTCCCCGGGGAGCTGACTGGAGCCCTCACTGAGGCCTGGGTGCTGAGGAGGCCTCCCCCTGGGGACGGATTCGGCAGGTTAAAAATAAGCAAAGGCCAAATTCTGGGTGATTTGGTTGGTCTCTCTTGGGACCTGCAAAGTCACCCCTTCGGGCTTGTATTCATTCATTCAGTGAAGTGACTGAGCACCTACTCAGAGTTGGGGCAGCACGGTGGGCACTCAAGAGAGCTGTGGCTGAGAAGACAGTTCTGTGCAAAGGCTTGCAGTATCCACTGAGAGAGGGAGGCTTTTTCTTCAGTGAGTTTCTCTCCAGCCAAATCAAGGGCGCACTGAGCTCTTCTTGTTTCATTTTAGTAGCTGAGGCTGCACCCTTGTCCTGCTGCCAGAGAAAGCTGTCACGTCCACAGGCTGCGTGCCCGGGGCGAAGGGATGCCCCCTAGCTCGAGTTCTGAAGGAAAGTGGTCAAAGCTGGAAGCCATTACTTCCAGAGCTTTGCTTTTTCTTCATAAATCTGGATAGACTTTCCCATCCTTACCATCTAGAGAACTAGGCCGCTGCACTGTAGAAGCTGCAGGGTTCCTGAAACCAGCTGGGGATTTGATACCTTTTTCTAAAAAGTGGCTAGCATGGAGTCCTGCAGCCCTTCCTGCCTAGCAGGTACCTGTCTACTGTAGGGACGAGCTGTAGGGACACAGCTTCCCCTAGACACCAGTGTGTGCTGAACAAACATCCCTATTGTGTCAATACATCCATTTCCCCCAAAGCTGGAAAAGCAGGAAAACCAGGCACGCAGTCATCCCAGCCTGGATGCCAGAGTTACCTTCAGAAAAGAAAGGAGAAGACTCTTGAATGAACCACCTACTGGTTTGAAAACTTTGAGACCTCAAGGGGTTCCAAACCCAGTTAAGGTGAGGGGCATCCTGACAGGTAAAGGAGGCAAGAGGTCCATCTGCAGGGAGAAGAGGCACCACCTTCATGGCTGGGATCTTTTGAATATTTACAAACTTAGGAGACCCTTGATGCAGAGGCAAGCATAAGAGTTGGAAGTGAGATGGGACACCAACAGGGTCAAGGTGATTCTGTCCTCATTCTGAGAGCCAGCTGTGACCTTGACTGAGCCATCAGCTTGTGACACATATGAAGTCGTGTGCTTTGCAAGCTTTTAAGCCAATGAAGGTTCAGGCAGAAGCTTCATTCAGGAGAAAGAACATGGATGCAAAAAGCAAAGACCTCTCAAAAATATGAAGAATAGGAGGCACTTGGGTGGCTCAATGATTGAGCTGCTGCCTTGGCTCAGGTCATGATCCCAGGGTCCTGGGATGGAGTCCTACATTGGGCTCCCCGCAGGGAGGCTGCTTCTCTATGTCTCTGCCTCTCTCTCTGTGTCTCTCATGAATAAACAAAATCTTTTTTTTTTTTTAAAGGACAGAGAATAAAGTAAATGTCAGGAAGGATTCATGTTACCCAAGGAGTACTTACCAGAGGGCTTGCTGTAGGATTCCTTTAAATAGTATTTTAAGCGATGATGCTTTTCTGGAGCACACAGAGCATCCCGCCTTGAGATCACCATAAACACACCTCCTGCCTGAGCCTTAGGGATTGTTCTCAAGTGGAATCTCAGCTTGTTCTCAAAGCTTTGCTCCTCTTCTTAAGGAATTAAGAGACAGATTTTCAAAAGGTAAAAAGTGAACAGAATACTGGGGAGAACTTCTTGCCAAGGCCCTTATCGGGCTGCACCCTCCAGGCCACTCTCTCTGGGCTGAGGAAAGGGTTTCTCTAACCCTAAGGGAGCGCCTCCCACACTGGGGTCAGACACTGAACAGCCCCTGGGCCATTTCAGAGCCTGTGCCATGACAGATTATCTTTAATCACTTTACCTTCTGTGCCCAGTGGGGGGACGTTCAATTTCTGTTGAGCCTAGTAAGACTAACTTCATGTATCTGACTCCACTAGAAGCACAAGCTTCTCTTTTTTTGTCACAGCAAATGAAGACAAGTCAGAGATCTGCTGTAGACATTTATTGAATCATCTATTACACCAATGCTACATTGTACTTCACAGAAGACTGGCCACAGGCAAAGTAAAATAAACCACCATGCATCAGCTTGCAGGGGGCTTCCTGAATCATCCAACATACACTTTGGCAAGCGGGCCAGTTTACAGATTTTGACTACAAATCTAAGGTTCCGTTTCTCTATGTGTCATCTGGCAAGGGAGACACACAATTGTACTTTGGTAGTTCGTCCAAGGGGGCGTTTCTCCACGTGTAACTATCTGGCTATACAGCGTGAGCCAGGCCCTGGCAGAGAGCATGGTGTAACCAGGCGAACACCCAGTCCGTCCAGGCAAGCTGCAGCGGAGGTGGGGGAGGTGGGGAGAGGCTCAGAGGGGACTGGGCAGCCCTGCGGGGGAGGGGGGCAGCTCCAGACCCCAGCCACCTGCTCAGAGAAGTGGCAGCAGCCGGAGGCAGGGCCCAAGGCCAAAATCGAGAGTTAGAAATCTGAGAATTGGAGGATTGGAGGAGGCCAGCCCCATTCTCTAAGGCAGCACTGAGTGAGAAAAAGGCAACCGTCAAAGGAACAGTAGTCAGGTTTGGAAATCTCATTCATTTCTTCATGTCAGTAAATTGTGTCTGTCTCAAACTGGGTCATGTTCCTCAAAGCCCAGAAAACAAGAAGAGAGCATTCACCAAGTTCAAGAAGCACAAGGTCAATGCTCTAATCACGTTACTTCGAGACTGAAGCCAAAGAGTGACTCAGGAGGCAGCACAGCCTGCTTATGCAGCTGGGGGATTAACCCGATTCCAACTCAGTCCCAACTTCCTGCAAAATGGGCCCAGGTAAAGGGATGAGGCTTTCCTCCAGAACACAAGCAGGCAGCCCTGCCTTCCCCGCTGAGCGGGAATAAGACTAGAGCAGCAGCCTTCTGTTTTAAAAAAAAAAAAAAAAGAAAAAAAGAAAAGATCCGTGCCCTTGGCCTCAGGGCAGAGCCAGAGCAGCGCCTAAGCCAGCTGGTGTGGGCGGGGACCCTGCGGGAGTAGCTGCAGGACAGCTCACCCACCGCCCAGGGGGCCATCTCCGCCCTCCCCTGTCGCCCTCAGCGCCAAGTACAGTTTGTCTCAGTCCTGTGGCCCGTCCCCCTCCCAGTAGAGCCGTCCTGGGGTTGAGGACTGAAGAAAGGGAAGGCGAAGCGCAGACAGGGCCAAAGCCACATCTCCACAGCTTCCCAGGGGCCCGTCCCTCCCCTCTCCGGGGGAACCCTGCCCTGAACACCAACATATTTTATACATAATATCACTTGCTCCGCTGCCAAAGCCTGGACCCATTCTCACCACGTGTTACTCAGACTAGCGAGACTCCTGCTTTGCATTCAGTGTTACACAAAGCAAGTCTTGGCCTCGCCAGGCCTGTCACTAAGGTCCAGTTTCTCCCACAGCTTTGTGCTCTTTGCAGCCCCTGGACGTGGCCCAGCATCCGCTGCTTCAACAGGAGAGCCACTCTACGTCTTTAGGGATCTGTGCTTTTGTAATCAGGACTGACCACCCAAAACCCTACCCAGAGCTTCTCGATTTGAGGGTGGGGGGGTGATGGTGACCCAGGGGCAGGGGTTGGTGGATGACTGACAGGACTCTAAAGCAGCAGCAAGGAGGGAAAGCAGAGGAAGCCAAGTCCTTCACCCCAGAAGTCAGACCTCAAAGTTCCCGGGAACGCAGCCCCCACACTCCCTACCCACCCTGCCGAGCCCTCCCCAGGAGCCGCTGGTCCTATGGGCAGCCTCAACGGGGCGTGGGAAAGACGCCTATCCAAACCCCCAGAACTGAGGAGGCCAGCCCCAGCCAGGCCCTCCCTGTGGTGGGGCAAGGGCAGGCCGTCACTGGGAGCTGGGGCTGTCGCCTTCCGTCAGCGTCTTGAAGTCCATGGAGAGAGCCTGTTCTTCCGCCTGGGGTGGCCGCTTCCAGTCAGCGCGAGTCAAAATGTAGAGCACAGTCACACCAAAGCTGGCCAGCAGCAAGCCCAGCACGTTGGCCAGGACACCCTCAGCCTCAAACGTGCTGTACTTGGCCCTGCAGGGTTAGGGCGGAAGGGAGAAGCCACCCAAAGGGTCACTGTCAGGCCCAATGCCATTTGCACCCAGGCCAGAAAGATGGAGGGTGTTCCAACCCGGCCTCCCCGGGCCCCCCAGAGAGGAGAACCACCACTCCACTAAGTCCACCAAGAGCTGGCCCAGAAGGCAGAGGTCTGGGGAAGCAGAGGGCAAGGCTCCATCTCTGCTGGCCCCGGAGACACAGGACACTCACCCAAGTTTAAAAAGCAGCGCCTCCTTCAGGCCCAGCAGGGCTGTGCCCACAGACAGGACGAAGATGGTGGCGCCAAAGAAGACGTGCTGGGGGCGGTAGCGGCTCCGCAGCGAGAATGAAGCTCCGGGGAACAGGAAGAAGCTGAAGCCCAGGAGCCACTGCAAGGAAAGGCGGTGGAGCTGGGGACTGAGCTGGCCCCCGGCCCAGCCACCCCAAGGCCACCCCGGGTAAGCCGTGTCCAGACACTGTCTGGGAAGTCCTCCATCCACCCACTTGGCTTCCTCAGTCCCGGGAGCAAGGGTGAGGAAGCAGTAAGCACCCACAGGAAAGGTCCTGGCCCCGGCAGGGCGCTCCAGGCCTGCTCTCAGTTCACCGGGCCTGTATGCTTGCTCGGCAGCCTGGGCCAGAGGCCAAACAGTGCGCGGGGTCAGCTGGAAGGCGCCTGGGTCTGAGGCCCCCTCACCCGTGATCCTGGCTTGGCACCCATCTCAGAATCTGAAAGCAGCATCCAACTGTGCTAAAGCACCTTTTTCACTTTCAGGCACATGCCTTGGAAAATGGGCCCCCTGGTGGCACTCACGTCCCCGCCCCGGCCTCCCCCCACATCGTTGTGGGGCTGAAGGACTCACCTGCACGAAGTAGAGGACAAACACGAGGATGC